ATTTCCCGCTTCTGCGGTCACTGAGCCGCATCTGCGGAACCTAAACCGCAGGTGCGGTTATGACGGATATCAGTAGCTTCAGCTGCTTCAAACCATTCCAAAACCTCCCGCCAACCATCCGAAATCATCCCGAGGCCCCCGGGACCTCAACTAAGGGCACCAACAAGTCTAATACCACTGTCCGATCTTGTACCAATTCTTAAAACACCTAAAACAACATCGAAACCTCAAATTAACCGTGGATTCAAGCCTAAGAACTCCAAATTTCTAACGATACGCTTTCGATCAAAGAGTCTATCAAACCTCGTCCGAATGGCCTGAAATTTCGCACACACGTCACATTCAACATTACGAAGCTACTCCAACTTTCAGAATTTCATTCCGACCATCGGATCAAAAATCTCACTATCGAACTGGAAACTTCAAAAATTCAACTTTCGGCATTTCAAGCCTAAATTAGCTACGGACCTCCAAAACACAATCCGAACGCATGCCTAAGTCCAAAATCACCATACGAAGCTGTTGGAATCATCAAAAATTCATTCCGAAGCCGTTTACTCAAAAGTCCAATTCCGGTCAAATTCTCACCGCTTAAACTCCCAAAACTAGATTCCTTCTTTCAATTTGACTCTAAATCATCCGTTAACTGAATTCAACCATGCACGCAAGTCGATACTCGCATTATGAAGCTGTTCCAGACCCTACGCCGCTGAATGGAGCTTAAATTCTCAAAACGACCGGTCGGGTCGTTGCAGTCCTTCCAATATGGTAAAACAAAACACAACCTAAATTTAACAAAAATTTCAGTCAAGAAATCAACTAAAATTACAAACTAAAGAAATATTCTAACTTGAAAAGCAAGAAGAGTTCAGAGTCCAATATCAACTAAAAATATTGAGCGAGAAAATGAATTACTCAGTGATGAGTTCTCTATTCTAAAGAATGAATGAAACTCGGCGATGACTTCTCTACCCTTACTATGAAAAATATATAACAAATTACATCTATTGTTCATAGAGGAGGGGAAAATCTTAAAATAGTCTCACCTCAGTTGACGAAATCAAGCAGAAGAGAACACAAATTCAGAAACTTAAAATCAATTTCAGCATTCAACATAATAATTCAGACAGAATCAAGGCACCTTGTTAGAAATTATACTAACAACATTTCTGTTGCCAGATACAACCAAAAGTTCCTCGAGCGTGAGAGAAAATTGAACTGAATTTTACCAAAAGAGTAATGCATTAAAAAACTCGATGTTTAGAGCCCGTTTGACTTAGCTGATTTAGAGTAGCTGATAAGCATTAGGTGCTGAAAAGCACTTTTAAGTGCTGAAGCTGATTTAAAAAATAAGCAGTTACGTGTTTGGATAAAAGGGCTGAAATTAATAATAAGCAGCTGAAGAACTGGGTATACGAAGAGTTTTGTTCTAAAAAGAAGTATTTTAGGGATAGAATAGTAAATATTTTGGTCAAACCTAAAGTGCTTATAAGCTGCAATTTAATAAGTTAGGGGAGACCAACTTTTGGCTTATTTTTGGCTTATTTTTGGCTTATAAGCACTTAACTTATAAGCACTTTTAATTTTACCAAACGCGTAGATAAGCCAAAAAGTACTTATAAGCCAGTTTGACCAGCTTATAAGCTTAGCCAAACACCCTCTTAATATCCTTGATTCTTCATTTAAACAATTTTTATACCTTAATGGATTATCATTGAAAAGATTCTTTTATTTATACTCCAATCTGCTTTTTTCAGCAACTACCAATGGCATATTTAGCAAGTAATAATACTGGAAAAATTACTTGGTGTTCTTTTGTCTTTTCCTTTACGGCCTCATATTATTTTCTGTAAATGTGTAGCCTTGAGTATTTGACTGTAGAGCCACAAGAAGACATATTTGGCATATTCACTATGATAAACTTGCTGATGATAAACACCAGCATAGGTACTTCAACCTCGGCGGGAATGTTGCATCATCCTGTCACGACCCCAACCCCGATCGTGATCACATTGCTAGACAAGTCCGACCAATTATCAATCACAATCGCTCTCTAATAGAGTTCATTACCCATTTAACAGAATTTAATTGCCAATTTAACATAAATAGGAGTCTGAAACAGTAGATAAAACGTGCGGATCATAATAACATCACTACATAGCCCACCGATCCGGTATCACAAGTCAAGAGCCTCTATTACAAGTCTTTAAACAGCCTAATACAGAGATAATCTAAGAATACTGAAAGTAAAGAAGATAGAAGGAGAAATCGGGTCGCGTCTTCCCTTTTTTGGACGGGTCGGGTAGTCACGCATCCACTGTCAGAATAAGAACAACCAAATAAATAAACAAAACGTGTAACTCAAAACAAAAGGTGTCACTCAAAGTATGACTGGAGTTATGTTCTTCATATTTATGATTCTTCATCTATGTTGGTATAATCCGTATGACATTTTATATTGCACCACTTCCTAATAAGAGAACATTAAAGTAAAAACTGCATGCACAACATTTTAATAAGTGAAAGACCTTCTATACGACGAAGGGCAAAATCGTCATTTTAATACATCAAAGACAACTACTTCCACTTTCTCATTCCACTTATTCCCGTTTCTTCTAGAGATTCAGATTATGTACTTTTGTGGAATTTATAACTAGATGCATCACAAGACTTACATTGGACTTTGTAGTTTAAAAAAAAAAATTTCAATCTGAATTTCAGTCAAAACCAAGTCTAATCTTCACCAAAACTCCTCAAAATTGAGATATAAACTCCAAACCATATTCCCAATTATTTTCAACAACACTCAATCCAAACAAATAATGATTTTTGAAAACCCAAATTTGAATTCAAAGCTTTCAAGCTTTATAATGGCTATCAATGGTGAAAAATATCTGGAAGAATATTTACTTCCATAATTGTAGCGCGCCTAAATAGGAATATCTGGAAGAATATGATTTGATCTGATTTACGCCAAATTTTTTTAGAATATTCTGCTCCTCAATTTTAGCTCGACAAATTAGGAAGATTCAGCTACTATTAATTAGTATTTAATGATTGGTATAATAACTGTAGAAAAAATGTGGACAGGGCGGGTAGATTAGAAACGATGCACATTTTTGATAATAAGATTTCATATATGATATAGGAAAGAAAAAAACATAAAGAAACCTTTGAGTAATAGATATTATAGAAAGAATGCAACAACTAAATAAAAAGCAAGAAAAGAAAAACTTTATAAAAAAGGCCTTGGATCCGTGAAAAGAAACTATTCATAAAAAGACCTTATATTATAAACAAGTATTTATTTGATCCTTCTCCTCTAAATGAAGGTTATGTTTTAACTTTAACTAATCATGTAACATCCCTGCATATAGTATTTTTATAGCTAATTACTCATTATTATCATTGAAGTCATCAATTATATACAATAAGAAACAAAAAGAAAAGAAAATAAGAAACGAAGCATTGAAAAGTTGTAAAAGTAAAAAACGTACATCTGTTTCAAAATAAAAGCGTTAGCCTCGAAATCGAAAACAAACTTGATTAATACTAATCCATCCGATCCAAAATAAGTGATTTTTTGGATATTCTCACACAAATTAAGAAATTCACCTTTTAACATTAATTAGCAATGGCATTGACCATATTAACCTTTACTATCTCACATAAACACTCCTAACACATATTCCAACACCATTTACTTCAAGGACAATGTAGGAAAAAAATAATTAATTCATTCTTGAAATCTGAAAAAATCACTTATTTTGGACCACGAGAAAAAGGTCAAAAAATCACTTATTTTGGACAGGAGGGAGTATATAGCTAGCATAGAAAGAAGCAACAATGAAATAAAAAGTAAAAAAGCAAAAAAAAAAAAAAAAAAAAAAAAAATTATTCCGTAAAGATACCTTGATCAATAGGGGAAAAATTTACAACTTTTCAATGCTTCGTTTCTTATTTTCTTTTCTTTTTGTTTCTTATTGTATATAATTAATGACTTCAATGATAATAATGAGTAATTAGCTATAAAAATACTATATGCAGGGATGTTACATGATTAGTTAAAGTAAAAATATAACCTTCATTTAGAGGAGAAGGTTCAAATAAATCAATAGGCTGCCTGACTCTAATTTGCATATGAGGTTTTTAACCAATCTTATTACGTGTAGAATATTGGTTCAAATTATACCATACATTAAATGAGCAAGTTAAATACAATTTTATCATGAACGAATCAAACAATTTTAATTCAACTTGTTACGAAACTACTGATAAGGGGCAAAAATACTTTACTTAGTGGAGTCATTATGTCTTTACTTTATGCTTTGCGTTTTCTCTATGTTACTTTTCTTAATTAAAGTGTAATTTGGTCACTTTGTAAAGTTATGAGACTGAATATAGATTAAGACACAAAAGGTAATACTGTATCAGACAAAAGGTAAAGAAAAAACCTATAAAAGATAAATTACAAACTTTATCGGGTTATTTAATTCAAAACAAAGTTATTCCAGAATTAAAGGATTACAATCAAAATAATTTAGTGTATAGCAAACACTAATAACCATAACGGTGGATAAATGCTATCTTAAATTTAATACATGAATGATATTGGTATGTTTAGGTCCCGTTTGGGCATAGAATTTGTGAGTTTTTTTTTTCCAGATTTTATTTTTAAATATATATGTTTGTTTATAGATGTTAACCATTTTTTGGCTGATTATGAAAATAAAATCTTAAAATATCAAAAATAGCTCTAGAGTAGTTTTTCAAGTTTTCTACTCGTAAAATTTTAAATTCTTTTCGAGTAAAACATAATTTTAAATTTCAAAAATTATTTTTATATTTCATCATATAAAACTCCTTTTTTTTTTTTTAATTTTAATCAAATTTATGTCCAAACACTAGCTAAATATGCCACGTAACCTTTTCCCTTTAGAAGAGAGCTGAATATTCTTACATATAAAATGGTTGGTGAAAGTAGTAAGTGGGATATCGTACAAAAATCCATTACATTTCAGTGTACCTACTCCTCCACAACAACAAATTTCAGTAATTAAAATCGGAATACAACAAGAGTCAAGAAATCTCCTTTTGCAAAGAGCCAAAGATTGAAACTAACTTATAAATCAACCACACCAAAATACAAAGAGAGAGTAAAGAAAGATGGCACAGATTAGCAATATGGCACAAGGGATACAAACCCTTTATCCCAATTCCAATATTCATAAACCCCAAATTCTCACATTTTCACCTTCTCTTTCTTTTGGATTGAAAAATTCAGCAAAATCTATGTGGGTCTTGAAAAAAGATTCAATTTTTAGGATTTCAGCATCAGTGGCTACAACACAGAAACCCACTGAGATTGTTCTGCAACCAATTAAAGAAATATCAGGCACTGTTAAATTGCCTGGCTCTAAATCCTTATCCAATCGTATTCTCCTTCTTGCTGCCCTATCTGAGGTAATTAAGTAGCTGCAATGTGTGTGTGCGTGTGCGCGTGTGTGTTTGTGTGTGTGCGCATATGTGTGTAGCCTATTTTTTGGTTCACATGTTAGTTATGCCGGAATTGTAATGCAAGGATTATTTATGCAATACTTAATAATGAAGGGATTGTTTGGTTCACATGTTAGTTATGCCAGGATTATAATGCAGGGATTATGTATGCAATAATTAACAACAAAGGGATTGTCTGGTGCACATGTTAGTTATGCCAGGATTTTAATGCATGGATTATTTATGCAATGAATAATAATGAAGGGATTTTAGATTGTAATACATGGATTAATTACTCTATAAAAGGGCATTTTGTCTTTACATAGTTTAATCACTTCATTGCTAAAAAATATGTTGTTATGCCACAATTTATCTTGCATAAAGACAACACATAATTCGCGCATAATTTAATACTGCCAACCAAACGCTGCATAACATTTGGTGCATAAGTTATGCGGCCACTATTTTTTTTCGTATGCGACCAACCAAACACTATATTATCTTATGCAGACTTTTTATAACTAGATTATTATTCCGATAACCAAACGACCCCATTGGTTGGATAGCACAATTACAATACAAGAATGACTGTGTGTGCGAACAATCTATATGGCCAATATGTGGTCGAAATGATATGTTTTTCCTGCTTATTAAGAAAAGGGGGCGGCAGCAACAACAACAACCCAGTGTAATCTCACAAGTGGTTTCTGGGGAGGGTAGGATGTACGCAGCCTTACCCCTACCCTGGAAGGGCAGAGAGACTGTTTTCGATAGACCCTCGGTTAAAAAAAGATGGAAGAAGCACTGATAGCAAGTTATTAAGCAAAGGGGGAAAAAGAAAAAGTTTGTCAATGTTTATCATTTTGCACTTAGCGGGAAAATGTTCAAACTTTTGCATACACAATTTGCATATGGGCCGGAAATGTGTTCTTAGCAACACCTTATTCGAAGTATAAGGTGCCCTTACCAACTATGGTTATCCCTTCCGAAGCTGAAGTTGGCTTGAACGACTTGTATTGCATAATAACTCTTGAACCATGATCAACTTGGTGAACTTCTTTAAGCTGCAGAAGTCCACATTTTCCATTATTTTGCATAAGATATCATCACATTGAGGTTTCATTTGCTCTTTAACTTGAAGCTGTCTTTTTTACTTTATTGTTTGCGCTATATATTTCAACTACTTTTGTGGCCGTTAGAAGTGACTGGCATTTGAATTTCAGGGAACAACTGTTGTTGACAATTTACTAAGCAGTGATGATATCCATTACATGCTTGGTGCGTTGAAAACACTTGGACTGAATGTAGAAGAAGATAGCGCAAACCAACGAGCAACTGTTGAAGGTTCTGGTGGGCTATTCCCTGTTGGCAAAGAGTCCAATGAAGAAATTCAACTTTTCCTTGGAAATGCAGGAACTGCAATGCGGCCACTAACAGCAGCCGTTGCTGTAGCTGGCGGAAATTCAAGGTCTAATAGCATCCCTCTTCATACCAATTTATTCTTTTAGGTTTGAGTTAAAGCATTTCAATGAATTGGAGCCAAATAGAGCAGAATGGTTACCACGTTACTAACTTAAATTTATCATTTTTATATTACAGGTATGTACTTGATGGAGTTCCTCGAATGAGAGAGAGACCAATAGGTGATTTGGTTGATGGTCTTAAGCAGCTTGGTGCAGAGGTTGATTGTTTCCTTGGTACGAAATGTCCTCCTGTTCGAATTGTCAGCAAGGGAGGTCTTCCCGGAGGGAAGGTGAGGATTACAAATTCTATTATTGCCGTATATATCATGTTAGGAAATGTTATCTTAAGCTGAAGCAGAGAAGTCTTAAGTCTTTGCTGATAAAGTTAAGGTACTCTATGTTTGGAAGAAATTGAACTCAAAAAGCCAAACGCTAAATTCCTTAACAGTAATAAGTTGAACGATTACAAAGTTGTATCAAGCTCAAACAAATATAGTTAGCTGCTATTACAGTGTTCTGTGAATGGTCTCTTTTGCCCTTTTCCTTATTTCGAAGCATAGTCTACCATTATCATTCAGAAATTCTTGCTTTAGTTATTCTTCCTTGACCATCTTTTAGGTGAAGCTGTCTGGATCTATTAGCAGCCAATACTTGACTGCTCTGCTTATGGCTGCTCCACTGGCTTTAGGAGATGTGGAGATTGAAACCATTGACAAACTAATTTCCATACCTTATGTCGAGATGACATTGAAGTTGATGGAGCGATTTGGTATTTCTGTGGAGCACAGTAGTAGCTGGGACAGGTTCGCTGTCCGAGGAGGCCAGAAATACAAGTAAGTCTGTTTTCAGTCATTCTAATAGCTTGAAAAGTTTATTACCCAAAACTGGTGATGTAAAGATTGATGTAATATTAGGTCTCCTGGAAAAGCTTATGTGGAAGGCGATGCTTCAAGTGCTAGCTACTTCTTGGCTGGAGCAGCCGTCACAGGTGGAACTGTCACTGTTGAAGGTTGTGGGACAAGCAGTTTACAGGTATTGCTCAGGCCGTTTGAGGCTGAGGAGGGGTTTGCATGTTGAACTTCTCTGTTATCTTTCTGCGTTTACTTTGTGGAAGCATCCTAATATGTACCCACATTTTCCTCTAGAGCTTTGGTTTAGTGGTAAGAGCGCAACCTGTAGGTGATTTAGACGCACATCACGGGTTCGAATGCTACCACAGACAAAACTCATGTATTTAAGTAGAGAAGGATAGAGGGGTGGGCCCATTATCCACAGAGTTTTGAACTATGCGCCACTAGCCCTCGGGGATTTTTCGATTATCAGAGAAAGAAAAAGAGTACCCACGTCTTGCATATGTACATGTTTGGTTTTTGTTAGGTATTAAAGCATCGTGGTTAAAGTACCCACGTCGATGAATGCATTGAGATGACTTTATGTCATGGTTTAAGTTTCTCGTTTGTGTGTTTATGTTTGCCTTTGTGAAGGGGGATGTCAAATTTGCTGAGGTTCTTGAGAAAATGGGAGCAGAAGTTACATGGACAGAGAACAGCGTCACAGTCAAAGGACCTCAGAGGAATTCTTCTGGAATGAAGCATTTGCGTGCCATTGATGTGAACATGAATAAAATGCCTGATGTTGCCATGACACTTGCTGTTGTTGCGCTTTTTGCTGATGGTCCCACTGCTATAAGAGACGGTTTGTTTTCTGGAGACCAGATCGAATCCAAAACTTTCTTTTTATTTCTAGCATAATTAACTAGCTGAGGCGACCAGATCCACTATGCTGCTATATCCAAAGTCTTGAGAGGATTTCCCACATAATCACATTCCAAATATACGCTTAAGTGACTAGTATAGCAAAGAGGTATTCTAGAAAATCTTCCCAGGCTGGTTTAGGGATTGGGAGGAGAAAGAAGTAAATTCATCCGGCTTCGGTAATTTTTATTCGTATTAAGTCTATCAAATTAGGATGGTCTCACCTTATTTCTGGGTTTAATATGGAAATCTCTGTCATAAGCTCAATATACATTAGTGTTGGCCTGTTACATATGCACGAGACTTTCTGTTTTAGTTTTGATAAGTAATATGTATGAGGTTTGATCGCACATGCATCATGTACTTTCTTCTCGACATAATATCTTTGGCCTCTAGAAATTGAGTGTTTTTTTGTGATAGTGAAATTTAAGGAAAAAAAGTTCAGTAATGTCTGATGTTGTCTATCTATCCAACTCTGTAATTTGGGAGAATGAATATTTGGCCTAGTGGCAAGCTGCAGTATCAAAACTTTGGGGTCATGGGTTCAATTTTCTTTAGGAAAGGATATGCTTGTTTCTATTCTTCCGCAAATGTGGATAAATCTGTATTTACATTCATTATGTGATTTATAATAGGTTGATGTATATCTTACCTCATTTTGGGTTGTACTCACATTGTGTGTGTATATATATATATATATATATATATATATATATATAAGAAAAGGAATCGAGCGCACCGATATGGGTGTGTTTTCATAACTGGTACCTTCACTTTTTGTCATTTTTCTAATATTTTGAAGGACGAATATGACCCACCAATACCCATGCACTACCTTGTTCTTTTTAAACCGAGAAATCCCTGAGAGCCAGGGCGCGGTTCGGAAACCGGTGGATATTGGGAGCCTTCTATCCTTCTCTACTTAAACTATAGGCTTTTGTTTGCGTAGTGTTTGAAACCATGACGTGCGCCTAAACCACGCATCACATGGTGCACTCTCACCGCAGTATCACTAGACCAAAGCCCTGGGGGCTTACCCATGGGCTACCTATTCGGCTGCCAAGGTGGAGGAGGATCACGTGCTTTAGTTAGATACGAGCTAAGAAACTGAAATTTGATTTATAATTCTATGTTTTCAACAAGTTTGAACAAGTACCAGTATAATAAAGTTAAGACAATATGGACTGAGTATGCTGGAATATTCGGCTGCCAAGATGTATGCTGGAATATTTCTGGTAGGTTAGTTAAATGATGGCTTAAATGTACCTCTAGCTGCATTTTTATTTGAGCAGAGTATTATGTTCAAAGGTTGAGTTCTTTCTCTTTTTCCTGTTCTTTCGTTCCTTTTATTAGTGCGCTAATTTGAATGTTCCTTTTTTCTGTTATCAGTCGCTAGCTGGAGAGTCAAGGAAACTGAGCGCATGATCGCCATATGCACAGAACTTAGGAAGGTAAAGTCCTGACTGGTTTCAACACATTTGCACCTCCCAAGCCTAGTGTAGTCTTAAAGAAGTATTCCTTATAACTCCTTCCATATTTTTGTTCATATATTCCTTACTCTTGCCTTTTGCATGAACACGGCAGTTAGGAGCAACTGTTGAGGAAGGACCAGACTACTGCATAATCACCCCACCGGAGAAATTAAATGTGACCGAAATTGATACATACGACGATCACAGAATGGCCATGGCTTTTTCTCTTGCTGCTTGTGCAGATGTTCCAGTCACCATCAATGACCCCGGCTGCACGCGGAAAACCTTCCCAAACTACTTTGATGTCCTACAACAGTACTCCAAGCATTGAAACCACTTCACTATATTGTAGAGTGTAAGTAAGAACATGTGAAAGAATTTAGTTCTTGTACAAAACAGGCTATAACTGGTATCTGAACCACTCTGGCGTCGACTTCATATCATCTGAACCACTCTGGCGTCGACTTCATATCAGAAGGGCATCGATCCAAGGCTTCGAATCTTTAATTATTTGTCATGTGATGATATTCAATATTTTTGTTGAAGTTGAGCTTCTTGTTTTTGAAGGAATGTACACTAAATAGAGTTAAGAATAACAAGTATTGGGACAGTGTAAGGACTACTATTTTGAACATGGGTGATTCAGTTACTCTTTGAGAGTTATTTTTTAATTTTATTAATCAAATCTCTGTTGCATAATATTAGCATGAGATGAGTTTAAATTGAGTAATGTGGTCAGTAAGGATTCATATTGCCGACTCCAATTTGTTTTGGACTGAGGCGTCGTTGCTGTTGTATTGATCAAATATATTAAGAAGCACTTTACAGTAAATTACTTCAATTCCAAGCTGCAGGAAAAGTGACTATAAAGTAAATTTTTCTCTATTTAATTTCTTTTAAACTATATTTTTCTTTTATATTTTTAGTATTTAATTTGATAAGGATAAGTATATGCACTTCAATAATTTGCACTTACAATTGATATATATCTGTGTGTGCACATGTGCAGTGCAGATAATTTGTCATTATAATATAAAAAGTAAAAGAAACTGATTCCAAAAAGTTTTCACAATATACCAACAAATCAATAATTTTCATCACAACTAGAATATATAATTCAGCTTCACGTTATGAACACAGAAAAGTTCTTTTTCCCTTCAACATTACTCCTTTTAACTTTTTAGTTAGAAAGGGTATGTAATTGAAGGAACATGCAATTTGTTGGCAATATTTTTACATGTATTTAATTTGTATTTTTCTAATAGCTTTATTGGATATTAAGCTATTAGAGCTCTTTCTTGTTTCCGTTAAAAAGAGGTTGCGTACCTTCAGTTGCACTAATGGATTGAATAACTTTATTTTTATATTGAGAATCGAGATATAGCATCTAAGATTGCATTAATCGAGGATACATGACAGAAGAAATTATTCTATTTCCAAATTTCACCTTCAAAAATTTTCTTGAATCACATGCTTTTCTCCTCGTAAGGCTGTAAGAAATGAATAAATATGAAATTTATAAAAAAAAAAAGAAAGAATCAAATCGCATCATGAGCACTTTCTTGTTTCAGTTCAAAAGAGAATACATGCATTTGGTGGCACTAGTGGATTGAATAATTTTTTCTTTATTGCTAACAAAGTGCATGTGTTATTTTCTAGGTTAATAATACAAGTTAAAATAACAAGTATATTTCGGGTGATTTTTAAAAATAGCCAGATTTATAACTGGTCGTTCAAAATAAAGTCAATTTCAAAAGTAATCGAAATTTAGCCACTTTTTATGTAAAGATAAATATGAGCGAAAACACTGTTCAAAACCCGGAAAATACTCCAGTATATTATGCTGGAGTTCCAGCATAAGAATACTTGAACTCCAGCATATTATACTGGAGTTCCAGGATAGTATGTTGGAACTCTAGCATAATATGATAGAGTTCCAGCACAAATACACTAGAACTCCAGCATAATATACTGGAGTTCCAGCAAGTATAATGGTCCAGTATAATATACTGGAGTTTGGAGCACCAGTGCTCCAGTCTCCAGTATATTATACTGGAGCCAGCAAAGTATACCGGTCCAGCATAATGCTGGAGTTCATACACAAGTGCACCGAACTCCAGTATATTATGCTGGACCGGTCTCTATTGCAGCAAAACGGTGGCTATTTTTCATTGACTTGGTAAACGCAGGCTATTTTTGATTGACCAGTCCGAAAATTGGCTATACCGTAAAATTTTAACGTATATTTCCTGATGTTCTAGTATTATTTATTGCCAAGAAAGTGCATGTGTGCTAGGTCACAAAAGAAAATTAACAAGTTAGTGGGTTCAAAAAGAAGGAAAAAAAGGCAGCTCGGTGTACAAGTCATTCCGTATTCACGCAGGGTCCAGAGAAGGGTCGCACCCCAAAGATGTGATGTAGACAGCCTACCCTAATGCAAGTATTAATCGCTGCTTCCACGGCTCGAACCCATAACCTATGAGTTCAAAAAGAGTTATCTCATTATATATATATATATATATATATATATATATATATATATATATATATA